CAAGGTGGAAGAGAAGAAGAAAAAGAAGAAGAAAAAGAAGAGGAAGAACGAATCAGCATCATGGCACACGGGTGTAACCCATAAGTGTTCTGCTCTTCTTCTAACTAAAGACTGAGTCCGGGAAAGCTCTACTTTTGGTAGATTTTTAACTCCAAATTGTGCCCAGGCAACGCCGTTAGGCTACTCTTTTCTATTTCCAACTGCCAAGGGTTGTTTTTTACGTGTGCAGCAATGCAAACGGGCGTCCGTTAGAAGTCTAAGTCCGCGTGAAAAAACTCCCAGCCCTTACCGGGGATTGAAGATAAACCTCTAGCACTCGAGGTGGACTCCATGCCTCGAGACCACGCATCCTTATTGCCTTTGCTCTCTGGACGGCAAGCTCTCGGTACCACTGTCGAAACCAACGCAAAACAAATCGTACCTAGCTGAAATGAAACCCGGCACCCCGGCATTACGAAGCGCGTTTGCAACGGCTAAGCCACAGACGCCAGCTGACTTACCTGCTCGGAAAAGACCTCATCTTCTCATTCACTTCAGAAGACTGCCTTATACCAGCCATAAGAAAAATCTCCAACAGAGTGCTATCGGACCGGTTTAAAAACAAGTTGTCAACGATTCCGCCATTAGATATGCAATACTCGACGGCGTCCTCAAACAAAAACAGCCCAGACTGGTCATTTCTAATTAGCTCGACGTGGCAATAGTTCTGGTACCTAACTCCATAGTTGAGCCCTCTCATGCAGGCATCATATTGAAAACTAAACATATGACAAAAACTGAAAATTGTGATCACAGTCGGGCGAAGTAAATATGTCATCCTATCATAGTGAAGAATATATAATCACCCCTATTATTTGAGAGAAGTTTATTATTTGCAAAATCGAAATTGTACTCGAAAGTGCTTCGTTTATATGTCTGGTTATAAGCGAAATAAAACGGTGTAAAACGGTGCGGAAGCAGCTTCACAAATTGCACACAGATAGTGCAGCATTGAATGTCGATGAATTAGTGTAGCCACTTTGGATGTTTTACATCCAGATTTAGATCTTTTTTCTTGCATTTAGATGGCGCTTTTGACATTTAGATGGTAGATATTTGCTAGATGTTTTTCATTTGAAGTGACTTTATCAAATCTAACCTAAGAAACAGAATGAAATTTGACCTCTTAAATGCTATCTTGAAAATAACATTCTGCCTAATAAGAGTAGGAAAAAAGGCTATTCCACTTACCAGCTCCCTGATTGAGTATTAGAGGAAATTGGAACAGCTAAAGAATACCAGTCATTTTGGATCTGAAGCTTCAAATTCATTATCCAAGCTAAGTTTATCCTGTGAATCTTGTGAGGCAGACTTCAGTAAAGATAAGGACATTATTCTATAGGGTAAGTCATATCAATTGCTATGTAATTTGTGATTCTTTCCATGTGGATGTTTTTTCTTGATGTATTCCCATTCAAATTTAGATGTTTTTAGATATGTTTTGACTCCGTTTTGGATGTTTTTTGTCCAAGAAAAGTGGCAACAGTGCGTTGAATGTTGAATCAAGAATCCACATCTAGTAACTGGGACACCCCCGTGAGCACTCCGTCTCCATCTTTAGCAGCAGGCGAAAGGTTCCAGTTCCTATGGCACCAGTCACTGATTGCACATCCGTCTCGATTTTCGTCTCTGCAGAGTCACATAAATTATATAAATCCTCTTAAAGGCTCTGTTAGAAGAAATCGAGATTAAACAGCATTGAAAGTACGGTTAAGCACCAGCAAGGAGATCACAATTAAAATTTTGAGAGCATGCATCTTTCCTGTAGCAACATACGGATGTGAGTTGTAGACTATGCTCCAAGTTCTTAAGAAAGAGCATAAGGACTTTTGAGCTGAAATGCCATAGAAAGATTATCAGAATATCTTAGACAAAGAAGAGGAGAAATACTGACATCTTGAAAGATTTGAACATCAATGAAGATTGGCTTATAAACAGCATCCTGTCTCGGAAGCTGAAATAATTTGGTCATATCAAGCGCCACGACGGATTGGAAACAATAATAGCAGAAAGCATGGTACCAGAAAGGAGGGGCAGGTGCCGACCAACACAAAGATGGGCACAGGATATACGTGACTCCTTGAGTATGAAAGTACAGAGGCAGGAGAACTAGCGAGAGACCGAGTTTCTTACGGGCAGACCGTGATGAGAGCGACGTTCTGCAAAGGACCGGATACATGATGATGATGAACAAACAATAGGAATTTGCTGAGGCTTCTGCAGACTGTGACTACCCCAGTAAAAACGGGACGTATGGTCACACTAGCAACAATGGCATTTATTTATTGTTGAACATCAGAATGTTAACTCTGCAACGGCTGCTAAAGTTGGATACGAGGGCGTTTATGGGAATATCCCGAGCGCTGTGATATCAGTTCTTAATTCAACTATTACTATTTCGGAAATTTCCGATATTGCTAAATATTTCCCAGTTACAGTCCGTGTTATACTTTCACTGAAGACATTTCGTCAGAAAAGTCAAAATGTGTGTTGCTTATATGTTATTTCTGTGTTGTTAACTGACCAGCCAGAACACACGTATAACCTTGTGGCTAAATTCAAACAACACACAACAAAAGGTAGGTAATTTTCTTGTCGCAGATTGTTGACTCTGTTACATTTATTTATTTGTGCATGTTAATCACAATTTCTGAATAGAAAACAAAACTGCTCATCTTCTTGTGGGATGCAATTTTTCATTATTTCGAAGCCCCCACCCTGGCCCTTGCCAGGGGCCATTACTAAGGTCTATTGGCTGAACTCTGTTTCCGGAACCTCTCCAAAGGTGATCCTCATCCACATGGTGGCACTTTGTGTCATCGGATGTTTATCGCTTGTGTGATGTCCTAGTGGGGTAAAATGAATTAATACTACTAAAATTTCTGAAAGAATGGGAAATTTGGTTTCACAAGAAGAATTGTTAAAATTCCTTGAACAGCACAAAAGAGCAACCAGGATCTCGAAGAGAGCTCGAAGACAACTTATCGCAAACATCAGAAAGAGACATTCATAATTTTTAACCATGCTATGATTAGAAGGAAACTGGAACATGTTGCGTCCATTGGGAAAATCTGGGGAAGACCAGGGGAATACTTGAGAAGACTCTTGACATAATTTTGTCATAGCATGGAGGGATTGTCAGCACTGGTGTATGCTGTTAAAGATCGCAGATTGTGGAGATGCATGATCGCCAGCGCAGATAGGCTAAAAGTTCTGCAAGCGAAGTCATATCTCAGAGTAGCTGCACACAAGAAGCACCTCCTGCATGAAGCTCTGAGGTCAAAAAGCTAAAGGTCAAAGACTGAAAAGAGGAAGGTATTGGATGGCGCAAGCTGAGGACACCACTGGACATGTGTGCAGGCTTGATAAATTTAGGCGAGGAGATGAGTGGGTCAAGGTGTCCGAGCAAGTTTCAAACTTGTGAAGGGTTCTTATCACTTGTGCTGCAGAATCAGAAGTTCAACAATCCCCGCGCAGATGATGTGATTATCTATATCTGTACTGAGGGGCGGACAAAGTGCATGGGTGCTCGTAACAAAAGCAAATGGACGTCGCTTAGTGCAACAAAGTCTGGCATATGCTATCACAACACCTAGTTTGAGAATGTAGGTGGAGACAGTCACTGCTGACTTCCGCTGGCTTGAGAATTAGCTGTACACACATGCCGTCATTGCAACTGACACAGAGCATTTTGAGAAAAGTGGGCATTTTCCTTTCAGAGTGGCAAGCTTTAATTCAGAGGTCTCGGGTAGTTAGTATCCTTTGGATATTTTTTCCAGGTTCTGCCGGTGTGGTAGGAAATGTGCAGGCAGATAGACTTGTCGATTCTGTACCATTTGGAGGTGAACTGATGTATGACAAGCTGAATGTTACGAGGGCCCTTTGGGAGCGAGTGAATAGTGCAAAGGCACAAATAGATCATTACGGTCTGAGGAGAACGGCGCTGCGAGGAGTTACCAGGAAATGTGACCGACGCTCAACACTCAAGGGAACGGCGAGACAGATGTACAACCAGACCGTTACTGGTACCATCGGAACTGGAACAATTCGCTTGCTGATGAAGATGGGGACGAATCGCTTATGGGAGTATCCCGAGTGCTGTGATGTCGATTCTTAATTCAACATTCCTTGCCAGTCGGTGAGGCAGCTGGCAATGATGGTAAAACATGTTAATCAAACACATTGGTTCTGGGAAAACTGCTAATAAAACGATAGAGCTACTGAAAGAAACAACAAGGATACAATTGAAATATTTTGGCGCAATTAAATGGGGTAACATTCTTTTAAAAACCACACTGAAAAAAAAAAAAAAAAAAAAAGAGAGTGAGGGGTTGACAACGATACAAGCGGGAGGGCAACATCAAGTGATTGACGAGTAAGTCTGAGAGAATAAACAACCAAGACCAAAAGACAGAGCGTGAACATCCATTGCAGCCAACCTTCGTTGAGAATACGGCACCTGACTGACTGTGAAAAAAAAAAGATTTGCTGGAATCGGTTATGTTTGGCTGAAAGATGCAGAAATCAAAAGCCTTGTTGTTATCCACAACAAAGCGTGCCAACCGATCTTTTTAGACACACGAAGAAGAAGAAGAAGAAGAAGAAGAAGAAGAAGAAGAAGAAGAAGAAGAAGAAGAAGAAGAAGAAGAAGAAGAAGAAGAAGAAGAAGAAGAAGAAAAAGAAGAAGAAGAAGATGAAGAAGAAGAAGAAGGAAATAATAATAATAATAATAATAATAATAATAATAATAATAATAATAATAATAATAATAATAATAATAATAATAATAATAATAAAAATAAAAGCAGAAAAATAAAAAAAAATAACAAGAAGAATAAGGTGAACAAATGAACGAAATAATTATGATCGAACTATTTAAAGGAATAATTTTTTTCCACATTAAGAGCAAAAGTCGCAAGTTAGCCTCAGCTTTTTTTTTTAAACTCACTTTTCAGACAAAGATGTCCTACTTCAACAGAGACGAAAATCTACAGGAAGTAAACATAAAAAATCTTATCGATTTCTTCCAAGCTGCATCCACAGTACCCACAATATCCGATGGGAAGAAACAGCGGAACTTACTTCTGTTGGGAAAGACTGGTCATGGTAAAAGTGCAACAGGAAATTCTACACTTGGTCATCGGGAGTTCAAAAGCAGTTCTTCTGCCAGCTCTGTTACTTCTGAAGTGCAGTGCAAACAGGTAGAGTTTAATGGTTTCGTCATCAACGTCATCGATACGCCAGGCTTAGCTGATACGACCTTCAAGAATCGTAGAGCTGAAGAGATGCAGGTAGTGATAGAAAACATGAAACAGGCAATTCATATGTCGCCAGGTGGCATTCATGCCTTTTTATTTGTGGTTTCCTTCAGTGGACGCTTTACTGAAGAAGACAGGAGTTGTCTTGACGCATTTAAACAAATTTTTGGGCCGACATTTTTGGAGGAAAATGGGATCATTGTCTTTACCCATGGAGATCTTTTTCAGGGATCAATGGAGGAAGAAGAGACGCCAGATAAAAGCTTTAAAGAATGGTGTAGAGAACAAACAGGTCCTTTTGGTGATTTGATGAAGGAATGTAAATACCGATGCTTGCTTTTCAACAACTCGCAACGTGATAGCGCAGGCAAGCAAAATCAGCTGAAACAACTAGTTGAACAGGTCAGGGTATTTGAGAGGTCGTATACACATGAACACTTTCAGCAGTACTGCGATCTTCGAAATGAGTTTATTATTAAGCTGAAATTACCCGAGTTAAAGGCATCATTCCAAAGACTTATTGACAACCTCAATTCTGACGTGAATGAGCTGGGAAGAACTAGAAACGCTAATTTGTCTGTAGTAACACAAAACGCAGGCCAGCTAGAGCAAAGATTAGCAGCTGAAGACGGAGGAACTGGGCTGTTAGATGACATGAAGGCACAGCTGGCAAGGACTAGGCAGAGAATACACAACTGTATGCAGATTGAATCCGAAAGGCGTCGCCAGGAGAATGACAGTTCGTGCTCTATTTTCTGATGTATTACATGTGTAATAAAAAAAAAAACAGATAATATATTGATTGACACTCATAGAAAGAAATAGAAAGTTAAAAGGACATACTAGACAACATAAAAATATATTTATCTTGAGCTTTTATCTATTTTTAATGCTTTGATCAGATCCGATTTTCAGCAACAACAACAACAGCAAACAATTGCCACTTTCAACCAGCATCCCCAAAGGGGGAGTTTTTGGTTGTAAGGTTTTTTGCGATTTTGCTCGCCACCAAGTAGCCCTGAAAAGGACGCTTGCAGTGTTGATACCTTCAATGGAGGCAGATCCAAATACTTGGCCCGACCGACGACGAGGCCGTCTACCGGCCGGCCACGGCCAGCTCCAGACATATGCAGCCGGACGTGGGCCAGCCAAGGGGCGACCCAGTCGCACGATGTTTTCTGATGTTTTCTCTGGGCAGTAACAGCTCCTGCACAGCACGTGCAGCCAGTGGCGTAGCTAGATCACATGGTATCCGCTGCGAAAAATCTCACGTCACCCACAGTGCCATTGCAAAGCCATGTAGCACAGCACTCAATGAGGACATTTTCCATTCACTCCTTCATACAGGCAGACACAATCAAACTCATTTTTTCAATGTTAAAAACACATGTCTTTGCCAAATTGTTACCCCTTCAGTGGTGACACGAAGTGCAGCCTGCACTTCTGTCATCTGCGCACCTTGCTACGCCTCTGCATTTGCCCCGTATTTTCACTAGATATTATCAATAACATTCAATTACTTGCTTCATTTATGTAATTGTTACTGTAGTATGCACCTGACAAGATACTGCGAAATGTGCTAGGCAATAAATTGTGTAATGTTTTGTTTGTGTCTTCTTTGTTCAAATTTACATCAGGGAAACACTGCTTTGATAACATTCAGTATAAAATGTTTGTATCCTTTTATTCTTACTGTATATATGTACATTATATAATGCTTCCGATTGATTTCAGTTTCCATTCCATAGCTGCTGGGGAAAAAACATTACAAAAACCTTACATGGAATATACGTTTCACAGTTCCAGCGACGACGTGTTTTGCTGTTGTACGCATGCGCACATCAAAGAGATTAAAAGCTGCATAGTATCCTATCCCAGATAGGACTGTCACAGGACAGTGCAACATTTTAAAGGGTGGTAAGTGGGTTTCCCGGCTTTCTGATGCTTTTAACGACCCCAAAACATCTCAAACTGGCCCTAACCCCAGCCTACCTACGTCCCACGAGAGGGTGCAGCCTAGGACCCACAATTGCATGCCGCCTAGGTCCCACGACTGCATGCAGCCTATCTACCACCCACTGAAATATTAGAATGTCCCGTGACCTGTGGATTTTCCCTGCTTGAGGTAGGATATTAAAAAAGCACCGCTGCACATAACGTAGAAGAGGAACTGTCGCAAACGCGGTGTCAATCCTGTTTTATTATTCTTGCTGCTTAAAGATTTCGTTTTTAAATGACTAGATAAAGCTTGAACTGTAGCAATTTAGGCTGTTTGGAAATAAAAATATTGTTGTTTATTTTAAATTTCATATAGTTAATGTACTCATTTTTTCTCTCATATGTTTGTTTCGTTCTTAAAAAAATTAAAACAAGTCCGCAAGTCTCTTGAAAATCGCTTTTTTTTGTAATACTCTGTGGACTTTAACACCCTCCGGACTGAATTGCCAACACTGTTTCATTTAAACTATTGTGTTAATGAGAGAGCTATTTCAGTCCACCTCAGTGTATGTAGAAACTGGTGTAAGGTAACCACTATTCGTATTCAGCCCGACCGCAAGTATTCGGCCGAATACCGAATAGTTTTTAGGTCCACTATTTGGCCCCGAAGCGAATATTCGGTACACACACACACAAACACACACACACAAACACACAAACACACACACACACATATATATATATATATATATATATATATATATATATATATATATATATATATATATATTGTAAACAAACAGACCATGTATTGATTGGCACTCAAAGAAAGAAGGAGGACATACTAGACAACATCAAATAAAGAGCTATAGGTGCCGTGCCGGAGATCGAACCTGTCACCTCTAAATGGCGTTGCCATTTATAGGCAATCATTGTCAGTTATTCTGGCAGTCCAAGGTATTCACAACATTCTTCTCAAGAACCACATCTCAGTTACCTCCAAACTCTTCTTAATTTGTTTGCTCACATTCAAAGATTCACTGCCATACAACAGAGGAATCTCGATGTAACATTTCAGTGCTCGTTTTCTGATGTTTAATGAGAGTGGTTCATTACATAAGATACCTTTTATACTCTAAAATGCTGCCTTCGCCTAAAACAGTTAAATTATAATTTCGATGTTTTGGTGGGCCGTGGATGTAAGAAGGTTGAGGGACCTTGCTCTAAACTATTATGGCATCCAACGTGGCAGAAACATTTATGTTTTTATGTCCATTTATTGTAACACTGTAGCAATAATAAACGATTCTCAGGTTGGTTTCACCATCGCCTCCTTTAGAATACACCTTCTACCTAGGGCTGCCAATGGGGATTTTATCAAATCCCAAACCTAAGCTGGCCAAAAAACAAAAAAAAAACAGCGATACAGAAACAAAGAACAATAAACAAAAACAACCCAAGATTGATAAAAAGTACAAATTTTATAGTTTCGAAACGAAACATTTACCCACATTTATATAAGGATATATTTTTTAAAAGACCCAAGATTCCAAAATCTGGACCGAAGGAGTCAAATAAAAACCCAGATCTGGGGGTAAAAACACATCATTGGCAGCCCTGCTTCTACCCTTGTTCGGTGACGTCATAGAATGAGTCCACCTTTTCTTGTTGCCTTGTGTTAATTGTATGGCAAATAGTGATACAAACCAGCCTCTCGGACTTTCACAAAAACGGGAATTTCCGTTGACCTAGTTGGCCTTATCTGAAGCCCATCGTGGTTTGACAAACAGTAAATAGATCAACATAAACGGACAAGCGAAATAATTAATTTACACAATTCCGAATGCAACGCTAACTTACGTAAGATTAACACATGGGAAATGAGATGCCCGAGGAAAGCCGCTAACCTAACCTCGTAAACAGAGTGAGAAATTATACTTAAAGAGGGACTGTGGGAACATTATGTAGAAAGTTCACTGAGAAATAGAAGATCAAATGGTACGGTCATTTAGTAAGAATGCAACCAGAACAACTACCAACGCAGGCGCTACACAAGAAAAGATCTGACGTGACAGCAAGAGGTCGTCCTGGGAGAACATGGACAGATGACATTAAAGAGCGTCAGGGAATGACAATAGCCGTTGCTGCCCATTAGGCAATGGATCACAAACTCTTCCTGCCCAGGCCGCTTAACGACAGCAGTGGAAATCGTTGTTGATGTGATTATGATAATGATAGTGATGATGATGATGATGATGATAGTACTGATTTAAAATGATGATAATGGGATTATAATGATGAGGATGATGATAACGATGATGATAATGTTTGTGATATAATAATGCTGATGATGATGATAATGATTATGATGTTAATGCTGATGCTGATAATGATGATGATTGTGGTGACGATGATAATGATGATATTGATGATGTTGATAATAATTATAATGATGACAATGATGATGATGATGATGTCGATGATCATGATGATAGTTCTGACGATAATAACGATGAGGTACATAAGACGGGGGCAACAAATGAATCATAATGTTTTAATGTTTAATAATAACATAAATACCAAACTATTATAACATTTGATGGATAATATATCACAGAGATGAAGAATAAAACAGAACAGGCCGAAGCTGCATTTTATAAAATCAAGAACATTTGATCCAAAAAAATCCATGTCATTTAAGGTTAGGAAGAGAATTCTCGCATGCTATAAAGAGCCAGTTTTAAAAAACGGACAATTAATAAAGAAGCCGAACAACATCTTGAGGCCTCGGAGACATGGTTTTACAGAATAATCCATAGAATTAATTGGAAAGCTCAGAATTGCAACCCAGATTTTGTGAAAGGGGCAAACGCTCGAAGACAACTTATCACAAACATTAGCAAGAGACAGCCATCATTTTTTGGTCATGAGAAGAGGGCAAATGGAACATGATGTTGTAACCACTGGAAAGATCTGTGGAAAAGGAGACAAGAGGAAGACAGCATGAAAATATTCTTGAAAGCCTTTTGTCATGACATGGAGGGGTGTCAACACACGAACATGCACTTGCAAATCATATATTGTGTTGGGGCATGATCGCCCACACCACTCGGCAAGGCACTTGATGATGATGATGATTAGACCATTGTTAGTGGCCTGCTTCGTGTAGAAACGAAATATTGTATTTGTTCAACAGCGACGTAAAAGAAACACCGGTGAGGTACAATCGTTCACTTTAAAAGTCAAGTCATCCCTCAGTTTTCCCCTGAAGGAAGTCCAATTATTATTAGGGCTGTACCGAATAGTGATTTTCACTATTCGGCCGAATACGAAAAGTGGGACCAGCTATTCAACTGAATACGAATACGAATAGTGTATCATCATCATCAGGTGCCTTGCCGACTGGTGTTAGCGATTTTCCATCGCCACAATCTGCGATCTCCTGCAGCATGTATCAGTTCATGTGCTGACACACCTCCATGCAATGCAACAAGACTGTCAAGAATCTTCTCTCGTTGTCTTTTTCTATCCCCCCTTCCACAGATCTTCCCAGTGGTCACCACAAGTTCCATTTTCACTCTTCTTATAAGATGGCCGAAAAATGATGACTGTCTCCTTCTGATGTCTGTGATTAGTTGTCTTCGGACTCCCGCCTCTTTCAAAACCTAGTGGTTGCTTTTTTTTAGGCTTTCCAAGGTATTTTAAGCATTGTTCTGTAAAACCACATCTCTGAGGCCTCAAAAAATTGTTTGGCCTTGCTACTGATTGTCCAGGACTCATAGCCATATGTTAAAACTGGATGTATGTAGCAAGCAAGACAA